TATTACTAAGAATTGAAACTGCTGAACAGCAACTTATAAATTCAACAAAAGTAAAGTGTTTACTTAGATATTAAAAAAAAAATTGGATGTCTGGCAGACAGACCAAAATGATAAAATAGCATGATCTATTTTCTTCTTTTAAATAGTTAAAAACTTGTACAGTAATCAAAGACATTTTTTCAAAATACAACTTTTTGTACATGATTTAGAAGACAATTTTGTATTGGAAACCCAATAATTGATGTCTGATTCTACAGAATCCTGAATAATCTGAACAATTGGAAATAAAGTTTCTTTTTTACTTTTAGAATCCTTTTTGTTTTGTTTTACCTGGTATGGCTGAAAATGGGTTTGTGTATCAAACAATGAAGGTACTTTTTGATAAAGTGTATTTAAGAAAAATCTAGAGTATTAAACATTTCACATGGTAACATTTTGCTTGTATTATCCTGTGGTAGGACATAGGCAGGACTCGACTGCCTAGTTCTTTTTATTTCAGTCTTCAACCCTCCTTCAATAGATATGCACTGAACCATACATTTCAAGATTAGTTCTGATAGAAATGAAGAATCCTCCAAAAGAAGACAAAACAATACTACTGTCATATTTTAATGCCCGCTGTGTTTTATACAGTAAATTTTTGTTCACTGGGAAAATTTTTACTAAAAGTTGTAAGAAGTATTGTGCAAAGATATGTAAGTTTTTTTTTTGAAGTACTTGAAATGCATTAATAAAGAATAGACTTGATCAACCAAATGAATGTGTCAATTTATTGAAGTTAACTGCAAGTCCTGGAGAAGGCATCGTTCAGTGAATTTTGGGGCCTTTCACTACGTTGTATATTGAAACATTTAGTGGTCTCTTACATTTGGTTTTAAATATTGTGAATTTTCATGAGGTCTGAAGTTAGTCCAACTTATAATAACTGATTTCAGAAATTTCTCTGCTGGTGTAGTATGTTGTCCAAAGTTCTTCTGATTCTCTGTCTAAAATTTGTTTTGGTGCTTTGGCATTGGTTTAGTCAAAAGTTTTAGACTGAGGCATTAACAACTACTGTATCAGCATTATTTCCAGTCAGCCCAAATTTGTATAACTGCACTTGCTAAAATATTCTTTCTGGACTTAATTTTTCAACAAACTGACATACAGGGTTCTTTTCGGTTGGCAGTGGAGAAGTTCCCAATATCTGGCAGTTTTAAAACATATTGTACTGGCACTTTTTAATTGAGTCAATCGGCAGGGTTCTTTTTCACTACAATAACTTATTATAAACTCAGGCACAAAGTATGCTTCCTGTTTAAGTGACTTGGGAGGCAACTGTTATAACTGCAGATGAATGTGTTTCATTCCAACCAAGAGTCTTTTTGGTTTGTCTGGCCTGTTCTCTTCATTCCCCATCCCCTGCGTCCAAAAATTAGTGGGATGGGAAAGAGCTTTAGAAGTGCATATTTTATCAGATTTTCAGTCTAGCTTTGCCAGTTCTTCCTGCAGACTCCCCGCTCAAGAAGGTTGTAAAGTTATTTTTAATTAGCAACTTCAGCTGAGTCTGAATCAAACTTTGCAGAGCAAAAGGGAAACATTGTTAAGGTGTATGGCACTAAGTAAGAATAATACTTCAAAAACCGCTTGTAACACCATACAGTGTAATATTAAGATGATAATTTGGAGTGAAGACTCTTGTCAATATGTATTTAGTGGGTTCCACAAATCGCCTGGACTTGCAACAGAAAGATGATTAATTACAGCAAGCTCTAGACATTTTTATTCCATTGTTTGGGTGAAAGAGCTGATGCAGTGTTCAAATCCTCAAAATTTCTGTTCCATTGCCATCTAATTGGTTCCCTATATGACAGCTGCCAAAGGGACGGAATTAAACTGGAATAAACTAGGACTATAAGATTATTAGCTGGAAATTAGACTTGGTCAGATGTCTGCCCTTTAATGTGACACTTTCAATGTTAGTGAAGCATTTAGATACTATCATTCATGCAACGTGACTGTTGCTACAAGTTTGTAAAATGCCAGAGAACTGCCAGACAAAGCTCTGTCAGTTGTTGCTCATCTTATATGCAGAAATCTGAATCAACGTTCAGCAAGGCAAAATGAATATAATTTTAACACCACCTTGTCACCATTGTCTATCCTTCTTAAAAGATAGAATGAGAAGAGCCTGAGAGCTAACTTTATTTTTCTGACTTGGGGAAAAAGAATACATGATATTTTATTGCCTGAACTTTCAACTTGGTTTGGACAATTTTTCTCTTTTACCCACTCTGGCTGTTATTATCCACTTACTGAAAAAATGTGGTTTCTCAGAAAATGGAGTAATTATCACCTCCACAAAAGTGGTGAGGGAAGAGAAATAAAACTACAAGTAGCAGTGACTTAATGTTTAGAATTTAATTTGTTGAAACAACAGGTCAATAGTGCACAACAGACCCTTTATCCTGCACTATATTGGTTATTAATGCCATCGTGGTGTTTGTAGTCACATTACATCAGCAGAAACCTCAAAGCTGTTACTGTGGTTTAAATGTGATCACATCAATCTTACTGTCACAATGTAAGAAAGAAAATGAAGATTATTTGAGGTGTCTTGAACAAAACTATACTGGATGTGTGTTAAATGCAGTGGGTTTTTCATTGTACATGTTTCTCTTTATTGCATGCTGTTATTCCTAACCAAACCTTGTGAACAATAAATTTTATATTCTACAGGAATATTTAACATGCCACATTTTAGGATAATAAAATAAATCATCTAGGGGTGAACTTGTACAATCGGCACCTATAAATTTACTAAACCCCTTTAGTTAAATTATTACTCTCTACCACATTATATCCACAGTAACCAAAAACACAATGCCACAAAGCTTCATTCAATTCTAATTGAATAACTTTAATTTATAACAGTTTAGAAATATTACATATTTAAGTCTTTCAGGATCTTTCGATATAGAAAATTTCAATTTTGCAGCTCCTGTCACAAATTCAGAATCCTATGACAATTAGAGGCACTTATCAGTCTATTAGGATTGGATGTTTAGACATATAGGTACTAATAGTTAAAATTTAGCAATGAGGTGCGACAACACATTTGCTATCACTAGTCAATACAGTGTGGAGCTGGAGGAACACAGCAGGTCAGGCAGCATCAGAAGAGCAGGAGAATTGACATTTCAGGCCTCGACCCTTCTTCAGGACTGGGGAGGGAGAAAGGAGCTGGGAAATAAATAGAGGAAAGAAGGGTGGGGCTGGAGGAAGGTAGGTGGGATGGTAATAGGTGGATGCAGGTAGGGTTAGTGGGGATCGGTCATTGGAAAGGGTGGGGATGAGAGTGAGGGTTGGATGTGGAATGAGGCCGGGGTTGGGGAGATTTTGAAACTGGTGAATTCTATGTTTAGGGTATCTGGCTGTAGGCTCCCGAAGTGGAATATGAGGTCTTGCTCCTCCAGTTTGTGTGGCGTCATTGTGACACTGGAAGAGGCTTAGAATACATATCACCAAGGGAGGTGGAAGAGGAGTTAAAACAGTTGGCAACCGGAAGGTGTTGTTGATTGTAGCATATGGAGCTCAGGTGCTCTACAAATCTTGTCACCGGGTCTACGTTTGGTCTTGCTAACGTAGACCAGGTTGGAGGATGCACTGGTGAACCCATGTCGAATATGGAAAGTTTGTCTTTGCCCTAGGATGGAGGTGAGAGGGGGAGGTGTTAGGGGCACGTGTAACACCTCCTGTGGTTGCAGGGAAAGGTGCCCGGTGTGGCAGGGTTGTTGGGGTGTGTGGAATGGACAAGGGAGTCGCAGAGTGAGTGGTCCCTCCGAAAGGCAGATAGGGGCGGGGAGGGAAATATTTCTTTGGTGCTGGGTCAGATTGTAAGTGGTGGAAATGGTGGAGGATGATGCACTGGATGCAGAGGTTGGTGGCGTGGGTTGTGAGGACCCAGGGGACTCTGTCTTTATTTTTGTTGGGGGGAGGGGGGTTTGAGGGCAGAAGTGTGGGAAATGGAAGAGATGTGGTTGAGAGCGTTTTCGATCAACGGAGTGGTGAAGTTGAGGTCTTTGAAGTAGGAGGACATCTGGGATGTCTGTGAATGGAACGCTCCATCTTGGGAGCAGATGCAGCGGAGGCGGAGGAATTGGAAGTAAGGGATCGCATTCCTGCAGGAGGGTGGGTGAGAGGAGATGTAGTCAAGGTAGCTGTGGGAGTCGGGTGGTATTGAAATAGGTGTCAGTGCAGGGATGGTTACTGGATATGGGAAGGGGAGGGAGGTATCAGAGATGGTCCAGGTGAATTTGAGGTTGGGGATGAAAGGTGTCAGTAAAGTTGATGAACTGTTCAAGCTCCTCAGGGGAGCACAAAGCGGTGCTGATACAGTTGTCGATGAGGTGAGGGATGGTGCCAGTGTAACAGCGGAAACGAAGCCTCCTTTGTTATTACTAGGTTTTTGGAGTTTTACCCAAGGAAAACATTCTGAATATACTTCCTTTGAAAAAAAAGTAAAATATACGTATATTTGAATACATGCAGAAATGTATTGTTACCACTCTTCCTGTTTTAACCACAGTGCTATTTTCACTCTTCACTGTAATCATTTGTCCTAAATAAGTTGTCTCTATAGATGACAGGCATACATTACAGTCATAGAAATGATGAATTACAGATGAAGTCACAATTCCAATTAAAACTAATGCTCTCATATCTTTCTGTATCGTTCAGTAACTTTTTTTTAAATGATGGCACCAAATTTTTATATCAAACACTTCCCTTCAAAAGTCAGGCCGTTGTTTCTAAAGAGGAACTTTCAATATAAGTGAATATCACAAGGATGTTAATTTTAGAATAGAATGAAGTACATTTATGTGTGAACTCCTTGTGACTGATGAGAATTCTATTATCCCTTGCTCTTAAGGCAGGAATTTCATGACCAAGTTGTTTCTATATTAAGTATTTACCATTTAAAAAAAAAATCTTTCTATCAATCTGTATAGATTTGAGTTTTTTTTAATTGAAGTTGTGGTTAATGTTTACATTTTTCTTCAGTCATAAAGGTTGCCTGTCAGAATGTAATTTTGATTTTTAAATGTATTTTGTGAATTGATGAAATCTTGGTTTCAGCTTGCCTTAAATTGATACTTTGTGCTTCAGTCTTCTGTGATGTCTGTTGCTTCTGTTAGCTATACACCTTACAAATTTTTTCTCTTGGGCTGGTTGAAGTCGCATACTGGTGTTGTTTGAAGAACAGAAGGTCACTCTGAAATTTTAAACAAAAAATGTTAATGCTGGTCTATTTTAATTAAGTTGAACAGTTTGTGAACTATTTAATCATTGTAATTGAGTAGCTAAGAACCATTTCATCATGCCCCTTCTCTCTATCAATGATCTATTATTAATGCTTTAGAAACAAGATAGTAAAAAGAGAATTTAAAAAATAAAACTGAAGTACCAAAATACCTTTGTGGCAATATTGAAAGTGATCAGAGCTTGGCATAATTTGAAAAATGCACATCATTTTGGTCTACTTGAAGAAAAGTGAAAACATTCAAAAATGATGTAAATAGTTTTGATAAAATCCTATACTACACATTTACTAATTCCAAAACCCTAAACTGTAAATAAAAGCTTCAAAGCCACACAGACCATTTTCCTCAAACTTGCAATGTGGCAAGAGACTCACTTTACTGTATGTTGATTTACAGACTAAATAAAAACTGCACCACTGAATTAACAAGTGTGAAGCATTGAAAAAGGTACAGAAAGCAATACAAGTTTAAATCATAATTGATCTGATTTGAGTTAATACATTCTTGAAGGGTTTACTGAGAATATTGTTCAATTTGTTGATATTATTAATGAAAATATTGGACAAGTGATGATATCACTGTTTTAATTTGAGAGGCTTATGCAATTAGTGGTCCAACATCAATACATAATACAGCTGCCAACAAATGCCTAGAATCTAAATAATGATTTTTAATAACATATCTTTTTTGTTAGTGTAAACTTTGGAATAACTATTGCGTAAACCATGTGTTACCAATTTTAACAAAGAAAGAAGGGTTTTCTGTTGGCCCTTTTCCTTTGTAGTATCCTTATGCAGAAAAATACAATTTGAACTTTTGCACTTTTAAGGATTTCAGAGAATGGATTTGATTAGTTGGCATTAAAAGTAATCTGACAAACAGCTGCAGCTATTTTTTCATTACTTACTTGTGCTGTGTTTCTCCAGCTTTGACATGTACTTTTCTCATTACAAGCTCTGAATTCAGATCATTCTGCTTCCATGGAAAATATGTTTGAACAGTTTTCCAAAGATTCATCCAAGGCACAGAGGTTTCCCACTTGAATTTCAACATTATCAAATCTCCAATGTTAACATCAGTGTGAATCAGAAAAGAATAAGTTTTGTTGGTAGTGATGCTTTCAACTCTAAAATAAAATCAAGATTACCACACTGTATAATCAAAAACCAGTGTAATTTCAAAAGACTATTCATTCTGATTAAGGCAGTTTCAAACAATATAGTGAAGGTGTTCCCTACTTGTGGAGTCTTAAAGCATTAAATATCCAAGCATAAGTACTAGACACATTGTATCAGTTGTTCCAGTTTATCTGTTTTTCTTTAAATACTTGAAAAACAAGCAGGGAAACTGCTCCACTGGGGAGGCATAAGTACAAACGTGCATCTTGTTTGAAGAAAATGGAAAGCCTATTTGAAGGAAAGTGGAAGTAGTATATGCAAAGGTCATCCTTCTGTGGACTTCAGTAGATCCAGAATCCATTTATATTGGGACTTTTATTTCCCTTGTTGGTAAATTCGCTTCATTTCTTTCCATTATAGTCTAATGAGTTGTGGCCTTTGTCCTGTAAATTCTTCTTCATTCATGGGATGTGGGCTTTACTGGGTGTTTATTGCCCTTTGCTAGTTGCCCTTGAGAAGACAGTGGTGAGCTGGCTCTGTGAACCATGTGTATATACATACACAGTACTGTCAGGTAGAGATTCCACAGAAACTCACTCTCGTTAGTGATACAATGGGTCACTGAATCTATAATTCATCAAAGATTTACTCTCCATAAACCAATATCTCACAGTCACAATAACTGCTTACATCCAGGTAGTTCAAATTACTCCACAGACTGCATTCCCCAGGATTCCGAAAACTGCTCAGAAGCATGTAAATACTGATAACATTTCAGCTTTATACCAGACAGCTAGATGGTTGCCTCTGAATTTTCTCTCAGCTCCAGTCTTAGCTGTACCAAGAAAATATGGCTTGTAGGCATTTTTGTTTCTACTCTCAACCTCACTGAACAATCGATAGCTTTCTGGGATGTTTTTAAGCTTTTTCAGCAGCTCCTCAGATGCATGCAATTTCTTCTGATTTTCTACAGTAGTAACTGACACTTGATCTACTTTGAGTAATCTATCAAAACACTCCCAGAGGATCCAGCACCTATTACTGGGCAGAATAGTGGTGGAACATCCTGTGCTGAATGGTTACAATCTCTAAGACTGGTAGCTTCTACAGCATGCATAGACATAGAACAAATGGATTTTATCACAACCATGGTTCAAGTATTATAAGATAGAAATAGCTTCATTATAAGTAATTGCAAAAATCTTGTTTGGTTAGGATCAATTCACCTAAGATTGGTAGTGCTGCAGGAATCAATACAGAAGCAATTCTGAGATGAACCAATGACAAGCATTTGAATCCATTCACTAACTAGTTGAGGTCCCAGTTGGTTGCCTTTAATAAACCGGTTGCTCCACTGGTCCCTTTATTTAAAAAACAAAAATCAGATTCTAGAAATTATAAGCCCATGAATTTGACACAAGTAATGGGGAAATTACAGGAAAGTGCCTATGTCATTATGGATAATCAATGTGACTTTACAAACCATCGATCACATCATGCTATTGTGATGAATTTTGTAAAGAAATGTCCCAAGTTCTGGATGAAAATCTGTCAGTTGATATTTGGAGAAGAAATAGTCTGACTACCACATGAGCAGTTATAAGGAAGGTATGGAACCCACGGTGCTTTAAAATAGTTATTTCAATTAGCTACCGATCTAATGCAATAACTTCAACAGAAGGCAATTAGGAATGAACCTGACTGGGGCCTGAATTCAATTGGAGATCCAGAGGGCTGTGTACTGGGACTGTCACTATCATTTTAATTAATGGTGTCGAGTATTTAAACAGAAGATCTCTGAGGCTTTTGCAAGTGCAGAAAGTTTTCCCCAAAGAGCTGAGTGCATCAAACGCCAATTTCTGTATGAATAATCCCCATTTCTGAGACTAGTTGACCATCAACCCTCATGGCTGCTCAGCCATTCAATTAGATCATTAAAACTGTACATCATGACGCTTTACATGGTTGTTAGGAAGATTCCTAGATAACAGGATAGAGTTGAATACCTTCAAAAAACATTTCTTAATATCTGTACATTTTAGTATTTTGAGTTATACTTAAAAGGAATGTGGTTGTTCTTTGCAAAAACACATTTTAGTTCCGTTCAAGAGCAACCTGTTAAAATGAACAGGAAATGCTTGGATGCTTATACTGGGAGAGTATGGAATCTGTGAGAATCTGTGCAGTTACAGACACAGTTTGTGTCTAAATACACATAAATAATCCAAAACCTGAAGGAAATTTTGCATGATAAGTTTTTGCTCATGGGAGATTGAAATAGCTAGTGCCCTCCAGGGGGAAATCTTATTCATTTGACTGTGGGATGTAAATATTGCTGTCTTGGCCAGCATTTATGGGTTATCCCTAAATGCCTTGAGAGCAGTTAAGAGTCAAACACACTGCTGTGGGTCTGAAGGCCAGACCAGATAGGGATGGTAGAATTCCTTCCTGAAACTATCTCCTTAACTAATCAAATTGAAGAATTACAATGAGGTGCAAAGGCCAAAATATAAATCAGATTAAGAAGGAAATAAAATAAATATATTTTAAGTCACCAATGATTACCAGCTGAAGAAATGTGAGCCCATGCTTGTAAAAGCTACTTTTCAGTGCCAGGGAGATTGTCTGCCACTAGTTCAGATGGAAAAAGAGCACGTGGACTGAAGTGAACAAACCCTAACTTCCGTGATGAGTTTCATTTATATAACATCAGTGTAGGATCTTAGTGCTGTGCAATACTGTTAAATTGGGGAGCTTGACAGCTAAATGTTGTTTTCATGCAGCATAAAGAAGTGTGAAGCATCTCAGATAGCAACTTCCAGATTTTTGTGATGATTAACATATGTGTCCTCACCTTAAGTTGTTGTCTAATTTGTGAATAAATAACAGTGAACATCATTATTTCGGCTTCTTTTTATAGTAAATCCTGGCCCAATATGTGGAATCATTTTGTCCATACCAAATAACATTTGATATACTTCCAGGACCTCTTCCACACAGCTGTCTGCTTTCCAGATCGTAGAACAAAGCCACAGAAATAAGGTCTAAGTAATATGTAGATGAGCTCTGGGATAAGCTGTGATGTAAATGTGACCTCAGTCATGTGTTAGTACTCTGCTGGAAGGTTGGAACCTCCACAGCAGAGAATGCTGCTCAGTGGCCTCATCTTCATGAACAGTCTGCTAATAGAAGTTGTTTAAAACGTAAGCAGAAAGCCTAGCCTGAATTTGAATGAAGATCTCAAGAACTGGCACAGTTGGTCATAGCACTAAGGACCCCGGTTCGATTCCACTGTTGGGCAACTGTCTGTGTGGAGTTTGCATATTCTGCACGGGTTCCCTCCCGGCGCTCTGGTTTCCTTCCACAGCCCAAAGATGTTTGCAGATTACGTGGACTGGCCATGTTACATAGCCCATAGTGTCCAGGGATGTGCAGGCTAGGTAGGTTAGCCACGGGAGATGCCGAGTCAGAGGGATGGGGTGTGTTTGGGTGGGGTGTGCCAAATGGTTTGCACTCCCACACTGTAGGGATTCTATTCTATGAATAACCAACACTAAAACAGGAGCTCCCTTAATTATTCTTTATAGTCTATTCCATTTGTACTCTGCATTGGACTTGTTATTCTTTGCTGTTTCACTTTTAATGCAATCTATCTTTTTCCCATTGTGACCAAAACATACATAGGAAAAGCTCCAAGACTGACAAGCATTGCTGAAACATGTGCTGCTGCATTATATTAAACTAGTCTTAAAACTTAAAAATTATGGTACAAGCGTTGAATGTTTGGGAGGACCTGAGCTCTACATGGGGGATAAAATGAAAAACTGCCTTGTAGTGAGGAAATACAATGGTAGTATCTTACCCTTTAATTTAACTCTCTGCTGTCACTAGCTTTGAATGAATGTACTAATGCCATTACTACAATTGTAAGACAGACTCTCTCGTAAATGCAATCATAATGATGCATTTTGCCTTGTGATATGTTCGTCTGCAATGGCAAAACCCGGTGGTTTGCCAGATGCTGAACAAGTGCAATTGATTGTTTGGTTCACCACTACTAATATTAATGAAACGTGCAAGTTCCCTTTGCCATTGTTCATCTACGCTGTTTATTTACACAAATGCTTTTGTGATGGCACTAGAGGCACTTTATATTTGAATAAAGGCAAACACAACTTCATATCGGTGTCATTCACTATTTAGTGAATTAGTAGAAATATTCTGTAAAAGCAAAAGCAAAATGTGACTTGTTGTGATTGTTTGTTATTTTAAATCATTTTAATTCATTATCTCAAATCAAGACAGACCAATAATCTCCCAGTAAAAGTTCTCCCTTGACATAATTCAAGTGTAAAATGAGATTAACTGTGGTGGCTGAGTACTTGAAGTTGAAATGGATACAGCACGATTATTTCTATTGCCACATCAATCTGCTTTGTTGTAGTTAATGTTACTGTAAACTGGTGATCAATTTCTGTGTTTCAACTAATGTGAATAACAATGTTGTATATTGGAATTTTAATGCTATCATACCTTACTCTGTTAAAAAACAAAGTTGCAATGATAAATAATACTCAAGAAGGAGACTGTAATGGTATCAGAAATACAATATTTGTTGATCTTTCTTGAAAAGGATACTTCGATTAAAGGTTAAGTTGTTCCCTGGATTTTAATTGTTGTCTTGATATAAATTGTAAGTTTTTTGTGGCTGAAGAAGTTGATTGTTTATTCATGGTAACTGTGGTGAAATTTGTTTATTGAATGAAACATTAAGCATTAATATTAATTATGGTATCTATTCAGTATTTAATTTGTGTATGCATACTTGCATCTTTTATGTAATAATTGTAATATTAAATTCTAATATCAGTGCTTACAAATCATGCATGAACTTTTTCCAAACACTTTAGGAAGGATGTGAGGTGTGTTCTCACCTAGAAAATGCAGCGATTTAAGATTTGGTCCTGATACCAAATAAGTTGAAAACAGGGTACTGACAAATGTACTGGGATTCTTCTAATACTCAATATTGGACATTCAGAATTTATTGTCTACTTAAAGTAATAGTTATATTGGGGCTAGACGTGCCACATAAAGAATTTGAAGGTTGAACTCATCTCATCAATAACCCAAAATGTTGTCCCTCAAAATAAAGAATTAATTGGTCGAGGGAGTCCTTTAGAGAATTTTTAAAACACCATCACTACATATTTGTATTTGCTGCTATCCTCCTGAATATTTGATGCCTCATCTCTTCTTAAATACAAGAATTTTATTTCTGCAGTATTTAATTGTTTTCAATCTGGAGAGCAGATTCTGCGTTTCAGCTTGTATGAATAACTCACAATAAACAAATACAACTTTTCTTTATTGAAGATGTGACTAATTCCTTTGTAACAATCATTTTTGGAAAGGTTTTTGGCTGACCATATTTATTAGAACAAGACTGGCTGACTGCTAAAACACTTTTTGTGATTGCATCTCTAGAGTATAATTTTATTTGTTCATGGGATGTGAGTTTTTCTGCTAAGGCCAGCATTTACTTCCCATCCCTAATTTATATCTATTCACATAGATAAAATGCTCACAAAAGGAACCCTATGGTATGCAATTTCAATGTTTTTCTGCCTTTAGAAACCGTACTGAACTACCAGATGAAATTCTTACATGCTCCGCACAATATAGAATTAATAAAATGGGAAACAAATTGAATAAAACAAATTATTTATAGATTCTTGAAGAAAACATAATACTCACAAGTTGATTGGTATGTTTTCAACTTCACCTTCTGTTCCAACCAAGGAAACTTTGAGAAATATTCCTTGTTTATTGTGCTCTGTGTGTTTGATGAAGCGAAACTTGAATTGGTAATGATAAACTGAGAAAATTGGAATAAATAATTTGAGTTGAAATTTGTTTTATTATAATGAAACACATATAGTTCAAAAAGTTACCACAGTACTTTTTCACTCCTGATTTTAATCTCCCCTTTCCTGAATGTATTAACTTTTGCTGGAGTACAGCCGATCGATACCTGACCTCTCAAATCTTATCCATGTGCCCTTCCTTTAAAAGTGTTGTTAGGCTATTTGATCATATCATTGCTAGTACCAATCTTACTGACACATAATGCATACTTGTGCTTTGTTGTCTGTAAATATAGTTTGAAATGGAGCCAGAACTGACTTCTCATTTCTGCAGCCTTGGCAATCCACTGCTGTACCAGCTAAGATCAACTAAGTGGAAAAGAGATTTAAATCCAGGAAGGTGTTCATTTGAGTATTTAATATTACATCTGAACAGCAACATTGATACATTTTTTTGTTCCAGAGCAAGCAATGCAAACATTTGGACACATTACCTTTGTATGGCATATTAGCACGGGTTTTCAAATACATCTTCTTGCTTCTTTGCGTATGGACCCTTTTCATATTATAGCCTAATGTGTTGCATCGATTCTTCCTGCAGTTTAAACAGACTCCTTTGTTAAATGTGCTCAGGTCATTGCATTGATATGCAACAATTTGCTTGTCTTCGTTTAGCAAAGAATCGATGAATAAGTGCACGGATCGCTCATGTGCACACTTCACAGTTTGTGTAATACCTGTGGAACAATGAAATAAAATGAACAGTTGCTACAACAACCATCAGTTTAAAGTTTGAAAAAATATCAGCAACTGTAAAATAATTGGCACCTCTTTCATGCTGGATGGCATGTGATGTAAAACTGCCTGCAGCTTAACACGAGGCAGGAACAAAGGCGATCATTGACTATCTGGAGATGCTATTTTGATCAATAAATAGTATCCACCATTACCCAAGTACATACTATAGAGATGAATCTTTCATTATGTTAGATTAAGATTCTTCTCACAAGTGATTAGAATTCTCACACTATGATTCTGAGTTGAATTTTTCAGTTCACTGCATGTGCTTGGAAATTGAGCAAAGTAGTTTAGATTCGCTGGTGTATTTTAATGCCAGCAACAAACCATTAGGATAACACTAGTGAAAAAATGTGCAAACCTCTCATGCGCATAAGGAAGTCTAGCTTTGTATGCCAATGGGGTTTTTCATTAATTAAACACTGGATTATGTAGTAATGGAAATAAATACTAATTCATAAACTGCATCTAGTTTAATGAATATTTCACTACAACCTTCATTTATCCAACTGTTGACAGAGAAGATAGTTATACTATGGACTTTTCAATGTTGGGGAATGAGTACTGAATTAGAGAGAATTACAGGACACCTGTTCCCTCACTTCCAACATCGCAGAACCCAAAAGTGCACCCTCTCACCACACCCTCCATACAAACGATGACGGTTCTTTTTGTCCACAATGTTGAATCCAGTGATACAGGCTTGGAATTGACAAATATTTGCACAAGCAAGCCAAGACATTTCTGCAAATAGCCATTCCTGCAAAAATGGTGGGCTGGAATGTAGACTATCCACTAATGAGACACATCATATCCAAGTTATCTTTTAGTTTCAAATTGGCATGGTACTGGCATGGATAGAGGATTGGCTGACTAGCCAAAGGCAGAGAGTGGGGATAAAGGGGTCTTTTTCAGGATGGCAGCCAGTGATGAGTGGAAGTCCAAGGGGGTCAGGTGGGACCTCAACTATTCATGTTATAGACTAATGATCTGGGCAAAGGAACTGAGAGGACTGTTGCTAAGTTTGCAGAAGACACAAAGATAGGTAGAGAGACAGGTAGTGTTGAGGAAGTGGGGAGGCTCAGAAGGCCTTGGACAGGCTGGGAGAGTGGTCAAAGAAGTGGCAGATGGAATACAATATAGGAAAGTTATGAGGTTATGCACTTTCGTATGAAGAAAAGAGGTGTAGACTATTTTCTAAATAGAGTCATACAGTGAGACAGCATGCAAACAGACCCTTCAGTCCAACTAGTCCATGCCAACCATGTTCCCAAACTAAACTAATCCCACCTGCCTGCGCTTGGCCAAATATCCCTTCAGACATTTTCTATTCATGAACTTATCCAAAGTCTTTTAAATGTGGTAACTGTACCTGCATCCACCACTTTCTCTGGCAGTTCAATGGGAAAAGGCTGTGGAAATCTGAAGCACAAAGCGATGTAGAAGTTTTAGTTCAGAACTCTCTTAAGGTTAACACATCGGTTCAGATGGTAGTTAGGAAGGCAAATGCAATGTTAACATTTATTTCAAGAGGGATAGAATACAAGATCAGAGATGTACTGCTGAGGGTATATAAGGCTCTGGTCAGACCGCATTTTGAATACAGTGAGCCGTTTTAGGCCCTGTATCTAAGGAAGGATATGCGGCATAGGAGAGGATCCAGAGGAGGTACACAAAGATGAACCCGAGGATGAAGGGCTTGTCAGATTAGGAGCAGTTGAGGACTCGGGGTTTGTACTTGATGCAATATAGAAGAATAAGGGGTCATCTGATTGAAACTTATAGAATATTGAGGAGCCTGGATACAGTAGACATGGAGAAGATGGAGCTGAAATTGAAGCGAGGACCCAGTACAGAAGTTAGTGCAATGTTGGTCTGAGGCAACGGAAGTGTTTCTATTGGACTGCTTACAGTCAGTCGACTGATCCATATTCAAGAACTCAGTGGCCGACTTAAACAAGTATGCCACTACTGTTACAGACTTCATTAGTAAGAGTGTAGAATACTGCGTGCCTAATATTCCCTAACCAGAAACCATGGATGATCCACTGTGTACTGAAATCCAAGTCTGAGGCACTCAGGTTGGGCAACCCTGGCCAATACAGGAAATCCAGGTACGGCCTTTGTAAGGCCATCAAAAGGAAATACAAAACTAAGCTTGAGACCCAGACCAAACACACAGATACCTGCTGTTTGTGGCAAGGTTTACACAATATAATGGGTTACAAAATGAAGTCGAACAGAATGTAACACAGTGTGGAGCTGGAGGAACACAGCAGGCCAGGCAGCATCAGAGGAGCAGGAAAGCTGAAGTTTCGGGTCAGGACCCTTCTTCAGAAATGGGGGAGAGGAAAGGGGCTCTGAAATAAATAGAGAGGGAGGGGTTCAGGCTGGGGAAGGTAGGTGGGATGGTGATAGGTGAGTGCATGTAGGTAGTGGTGGGGATTGGTTAGTGAGGTGGGAGGAGTGGATAGGTGGGAGAGAAGATGGACAGGTCAAGGAGGCAGGGATGAGAGGGAGGGTTGGTCATGGGATGAGGTTGGGGGTGGGGAGAGTTTGAAGCTAGTAAAGTCCACATTGAGACCATTGGGTTGTAGGCTCCCAAGGCGGAATAT